AGCTAGGGTTGAACTAGACATACTGTGGGTAATGTTCACAGCCTGACTGTGACACACAGTTAAAGTAATTTCAGCCGTTTCGCTGAGCTCTAAACTGACGCACACTCAGACAACACAGGGCCAGTGAACGAGGGCTGACTGCGGAAATCAAATTACAGCACTTCATTATAAAATTACTCCAGGAATGTGTTTCATTTTGGGATTCATCATATATAAAAGAGTTCATTTAAGGTGCAATTTTCAGTTTAAAGTGTACGGATGGTTAACGTAGTCTCCTTGAAGTTTAAATCTGCAGCCTCTGCTCTTTTTAAGTACATGTGTTTGAAGCCCTGAAACTGCAGCAGTCAGCTGAAGTTAATTTGAACAGAGTCTGACTAGGAGCTGATCCTCCTTAAAATGCTTTTGTGAGCTCATATTGGGTTAAGGATTTAAACCTATCACACGTTCACTGGCAGGGTTATTTTTACCCCACACATGCACGCGCTCTGTCTTTGAAGTTACAGATAACTGTGACGCTGACAACGGAGAGCTGAAGAAAAGCAAAGACAGCATGTCGAGGCGCCGGTGTGACTGAAAGAAGCTTGTTGTAGTGAATGCAGCTCAGACTTGTACACACACACGCTTACACACAAGTCTGCTGAGTTCACCCACAGAAACACACACACAAGGCACAAAACTGTCTGTATTTGTTAAGATGTAGCTGCGCCATTGATTGCCTTAGGAAAAATAAAAGCACACTTGGCAGATGCCCCCTTCAAAATAAAAGTATCCATTGCATTGCATCCATTGCCTCCTTAACAGCCTCATTGTTTTTACTTTAAAAGCATTCCCCCAGGCAAGGTTTATATATAAACATTGACCCTTTTTAAAAGTTCATAAGAAGAACTAAAAAATAATCTGATATCCCACTTGAAAAGTTATAGTATGAAAAGATTATAAAAGACTGAAAGAGAAAATTAACCTATCCACAAAAAGGATTCACCAATCACCATTACCAATTTGGTGAAGCCCTAAAAAACTTGGAATGAGTGGATTGGAATACATACTCGGGCTCCTCTCTCCCCACCTACCTCCTCCAACTCTTCACCAACATACCACAGTGGTGTGGTGGTTGGTACTGTTGAGGTCACATGTTCACCCCATATTCACATGGGTTCTCTCAGAGCTTTCTCCAACAGTCCAACGGCATACAGTTAGTGGTGTTAGGTTAATTTGTGATTTTAAATTGCTCGTACATGTGAGTGTAAATGGTCGTCTGTCTGTAAGAGGATGAAAATGATGAAGATGATTTTTGTCGGTAATAGAAAATATATAAGGTATTGGAAATGCCCAACCCTGACTTGTAGCAGCAGGAAATTTTAATTTACACAATTCTTCAACGTCTTGAATAACATGCTGGTGTTTTCTGCTGTATTTATACTGTATTTTATATCTAAAGATAAATGCACCTGACTTGAGAACATCAGCAGACAGATTGCCATTTTCTTTTTTTTTAAATACAATTATTAGAAGAAAATGGCAAAACAAAAAAACCTCTAACCAAATAATAGTTTTGTGTTAATGAATGTTTTTATTTTGAAAGGCATGAATTGTAATGAAGGCTTTTATTCTCTTTCTGCCTCAGACTGCTTCATTTTCATTCAGTCAGTCTTACAGGAACAAGGCCAAAATGCGCGTATGTGTGTGTGTGTGTGTGTGTGTGTGTGTGTGTGTGTGTGTGTGTCCTTGCACTGTTCCTTCAGTTTGTGCAGCCTCTTTAAAGAGTGGGACAGAAATCCTGTTTCACATACACACATTCGCATACTTTGACATTGCAGTGTGGTTACCGTAGCAACCAGCTATCTAGGAACAACCCCTTGCTACAGACACACACGGAATGTTCAGTCCAGTTCCGGAACCGTTAGGGGGAGTGTGGTCCCCATGGCAACCGTACAGCATTGAAATGACTCTGTATCAGTTTCTGTCTGAGTGTGGAAAGCAGCTTAACAGTGAAGAAATTAGTCTAATGTATTGGTTTGGCTCATATTAAGTTATTTCATCTGTATATTGTCAGTGTACACTGCACTGTAAAATATAACTTGTTGTTTCAACTTAAAAATATGATGTCAAAGGGCTGCCTTAAAATTTTAAGTTAAGTCAAGAAATAAAGTTTGTTCTTGTAGCACAACCAAATGTTATGTTGATGAAAAATCACATGTTGTCTAAACTTTCGTCTTAGTTTAGTTGACTGAGATTTGTTAGTCAGTTCAACTGCTTTAATTGTCATTTTTACTTGGAAAAAACCATTTCAGCTAAATTAAAATAATCTATTGTTTATACTCTTGTCCTAGTTCAGTTGACTTGGGTTTTTTAGTTAATTCAAATACTTTAGTAGTTCTTTTAACTTAGGAATCTATTTTAGCTTAACTAACATAATCTGTTAGCTAAGTTGATTTAAGTTTATTAATTAACT